ATTGCTCAGCAATTAAAAACAAAAGAAACTGAGGGAAGGCCAAATCAGAAGAAGGTTAAATGAGTGACAGAGCAGAGATACGCACCAGATGGGAAATGTGATAATACTCAGTGCCTGGCAGTACACAAAGTGTTGTGCCACAGGAGGGACCTATACCAGAAGGTTTATATTGGCTAACCTGCAGCTGTAGTTTGAATAATCACCTCCTCTTTGTGTCTAATAGAGGAAGAAAATGTTCTCAGAAATCAAGCGTGGAGAAAATATGCGTGTGTGCAGAGGAACCAGACCTAGGAAACATCTTGTGTTCTGTCTCCTTAAACCTTTTAAATGGATTTTTAGTAGTGTGCAGACTTCATTCTGTTTTTGCATCCAATCTGGACTCCGATATGGACTGGTTTGTGTTTTATTTTTGGTTGGGTATGAGGAACATTGAATCTTCTGTGGGTGCTACTCTGCTATCCAGGTGTCACTCAATCTTCAGTGCCAAGAAATTCCTTTGTAAAATCTGCAGCAACTGCAGAGTATATCTTCGTAAGGAAATTAAATCAGGGTATGATGAACCCACACTCCATTTCCAAAATGATGCTAAACATTTTTTTTTCCATACTTGTGTAAAAGTCATTCTGAGTGTTAGCGTCTTGGCAGAGCTACGGGGCTTTCAAATTCTACATTGTCAAGGGTTATATTTAGTTAGCTGGCGAATGTGATTGCCATTTATTTGAAATAAGTCAATTTATCTGGTGCTGCCTTTCCATGTATTTCATTAATTATACGTAGCTTTTGTGGTTTTATTTTGTATTTTTCCTCATGTTTACTTCTGAGTTTTGAGGCCCCCCCGGAGTGAAGTGGCATTTGCTGAAGTCATAAAAACTCTGGTTATGATTTATTACCATGACAAGTTTTCAGTCTGTTTCCAATAGTCAGATGCAGAGAAAAATAGTTTCCAATGAAGCACACCGACTAAAGGAGTAGTTGGCTGGATTGGGGCTGGTGTTGGTCTGTGCTGGATTCAACTGGTTGCTTCGTTAGGGTTTGCTTCATGCCTTTATTACTGAGTGCTGGGATGCTACTCGCCTGTCGGGGGATGCCATCACTGTTCCTGTTTTGCTGGCTGCGACCAGCCGCTGTTTTCTGCTCCTGCAGCAGCTCCTGATAATTGTTTTGATGTATTGCTGGATGGACGGGGCTTGCACTGCCCTGTAGTCCAGCTGATATAAAAAATGCCTTTAAGATCCTGCCTTTCCCATCCTAATCTACAAAGGAAACAGGAAAAAGGAACTTAAACTCCCTGTACTCAGACAGCAATGAGACTGTTCCAGCCTGCTCCGTTGCTGCAGTTCCTTGCCCGCGTCTTGTAAACACGCTGCAGTCCAGCATGCCGGAGCGGAACCACTGGTAAAACTTTGACCAGGGGAAGGATACTCCATGAGCTGCTGTAAGAACTGGATGGATATATTTTGGAAAGCATGGACCCTTTGGCACCTCTGGTTCTCTATGGATTCAGCCTGATTATTTCAGGTAAGCATTTGCTTTAATATCTACAGCTGGCCTGTCACGCCCTTCTTGCTTCCCAAACAATGGGTGGGCAAAACACACAACTCCCCACTCCTCACACTGGGAATCACTTTATTGATTAATTACCTGCGTCTGCTCCAGTGTGATCACTTATCTCTGTGAGTTGTTCCCACAGCAGGCAAAGGGAGGAGGGCTGGATGCAAGGTATCAGAGAGTGTGCTCTGTATTCACAATCTGTGGCTGTCTCTTCCTAAACACTGAAGTCACTTGTTGATGCACACACTCACACTGCAAACTAGATGTTGACTCTTTCTGTGTCTTACTTTGTGGCTGTGCAGCAGGAAATGTTGGCACTTCCAGTTATTCCAGCGTTAGATTTCAGATAAGCTTTCGGTCAAGATTCTGCAGTTGGAACCTAGATGGAAGTCAGTGAACAAAAAGGCTGGAAATACCCACGTTGTTTAAGACTAATCAATAGAACTTTAAGTGCAACTGAAGAACAATTCAGTGTTATCAGCAAATATGATTAGTTATCAAATCAGCAGCTCATCACAAGAGACATATGCACTAAAGCAAATCTTGCTTGTAGAACCTGGAACACTCATGTTAGAGATTTGCTGCTGAAGCCATCAAAGACAGAGTACTGAGGAAGCCTGCCCCTTCCTGAGCTGCTGCCAGTTGCTCAACTTTTAAGCATTACTATCTCCACCCATATTTTGATACTCTAGAGAGTTTCTTCAAGGAAATCTGCGAGGGAAAATCTGCGAAACAAAAATACAATAGCTCTGAGCTCACTCCTTAAGATGTAAAGGTGCACATAGGTCCTTCTAGTCCTTCTCCAAGTAAAAAAGTTAGATGCTGTAAAACAGCATGTTGAGCTGCACTGAAAACCAGAAAGTAGCATGAAAAGGCAGAAGTCCTCATTGTAGTGTAACTCACTTTACAGTTTCAAATTTTCACAACTAGCAGCATCTTACTAGCTAGGTGACATTATGAACTAGTTTCTTTGAGATGTCACTGAATTTTTAATTACTTTGGCAGTGAGAATATGCAGGAGATTAACACCGGCAAAAAAATTAAGTGCTTAAAATCTGTTGAATGCATGTTTGTGAGTATTTTTCTTTAGCCACTGCTGCAGTAGATTGTGTATTTTTTGCTAATTCCTTTTCTCCAGCTGAACCATGACCGCTTAGTGCTCACTGATCCAAGCACGGCCACAGCCTCAGGAGGCTCAGGCGGCACTGGTGCTGCTGCCATTATGGGCAGAGAGGGAAAGAAAGCCCAGTTCACCCAGCTCTTTCCCTTTTCCCTGCTTGCTATAGAGAGCAAGTAATTTTCATGAAGCCACGACCACGGGAGAAGCAAAAATTTGGCTATGCAGATTAGCAGCGCAGACCGCAGGGCACGAGGAGCCGCCCGGCGCAGCCTTTTCCACAGGGGCTCTCCGGGTTAGGTGTGTATCACAGTCACACCCGTCTCAATAGATCTGTCAGCTTTCCCGCTTTTGTTTGAGAATGATATCATGTTTCCTGGGGCGAGCGCGGCACGACAATGCGAGCCCGCTTTGCTCCAGATACCACAGGCGGAGCTCAGGAAGGCGGGCAGACGCTGCCCAGCGGCAGAGGTGCTGCAGCCTTCTCCCAGCGGTGTGGGCTGCCCTGGGCCTGCCTTTGTGAGGCTCCAGCTGCAAGGAACGGCCTTTGGTTTATCTCCTAACTTTAATAGCGTTACCCCATTAGCAGACAGATCTGAAGGCCTGATTTGGGTGGTGATATTCAGTACCTGCTTACCAGTGCTGCAGTGCAGCCTCTGCTGAGTGCACGCCACAGAAGTGCTCGCCTATTCCACAGCACACTTTCCTGTAGCAGGCCCACCAGTTCTGCAACAAGGAACAAATATCACAGTTTGTGTCTTGCTTGCTGAACACATCCTCAGATGGTCTGATGTTTGCTGTCGGCTTCTTGCAGCGTGCTGGCTGTCAAAAGCGATGTTGTGTGAGTGCTGCTTTAGCAAGATGGCCTCCTCTGGTAAGGTCTGTAGAAATCAGCAATAGTCAGAATGAGTTTCAAGCACTTTTCACTGACTATTTCTGGCTTGTCAAATCTCTCTGTTCTCAAAGAGAGAAAGAATGTGCAGTGCTACAGCTCTATGATACCAATAACGTTAAATGCAAAAGGTTGCTAAAAATACTGGATTTCTTATTTTGGGGGTAGTTTTGAGTCAGAATCCATATATAGTAAAGACTAACAAGGTTACCTTAGTCTTTTAAAGGGTAGCAGTGAAACTAACAGTGCAGTTGAATTTGATGCGACCTGTGTATAATCCGTATAGGTGGCTGAGCTTTCTTTAGGATCAGTAGGTGTTATCATGAAAATTATAGATATAATTATAAAAGTCATCATTATTATATGATTCATTTACATGTTTAGAAAACAAAGCAGCTTTGAACATACATTACCAAATTCACACAAGCACATTTATGATGGTGTATGCTCTTCAGAACTACGAAGAGATGGTAATTTCTGGTTGCAGAATAGAAAGTCCTAACAACTCTGTTTCAAGATTTGTTTCTTCTTCCTGAAGCTTGACTTAACCTATAGAAAACCTACATTTTCTCTTGTGCACATTACTGTACTCTTTCTCAAAATGTTTGTGCTCACAGAACCACAGAATGGCCCAGGTTGGAAAGGACCTCAGGGATCACGAATCTCCAACCCCCCTGCCACAGGTGGGGCCAACCTCCACATTTAAAACTAGACCAGTTTTTCCAGGGCACCATCCAACCTGGCCTTGAACACCTCCAGGGATGGGGCTCCCACAGTGTCTCTGGGCAGCCTGTTCCAGCACCTCACCACACTCATAGTAAAGAATTTCCCATAGTTAAAGGAAGGACCAGGTTTGTGTGTCTTTGGACATGCTACTGCCAGAATGAAAAAGCACCTGAACTTTGACCACAGACTCAGAGTGCTGTCTTTCTGAGCCTCTGACAGCTTAAGGGACACAAACCACATCTGAAATTTTTATCTCAGGAATTTTAGAATTAATCCGACTAGATATTAGATTGATGTCAGATATTTCAGTCACCAAAGTGATCAAATACCTTCTAATGTGAATTGCAGGAGAAAGTGGAAGAAGGGTTTTCACTCCTTGAATGTATTTCATTTGTAAGATCCAGGAACTGCACCTGCCTGCCTCTTGTATCATTTATGCAGAGGATCCTGTTATCTTTTTCAGGAGCCTAAAGTTTAGACAGAATTTAGACTCTTGCTGAGATAGAGCCGCCACTGACTCCAGAAGTGATAGTTCTGTCACATGTATTATTAATGAACCTCTATGACCTGCTGACACCTTTTATCTCAGCACAGGCCCACTAAGACTGTCATTGATTACAAAATGAGTGCATCTAAATCTTGGGAGAAAGGAGAGCTGATCTTTCTTCTTGAGATTGCTGACTGTAGTTTTGCAAAGGAAAAAAGTTTAAGCAGTGACCATTATTACTGCCCCCTGACTCTGACTCTAGAAGCCAAAAACAATTTCAGGCAGCCCTGTGCACCTACTCTATGTGGACTCGTGAAAAGGTGCTGATTCTCTTCCATTGTTTCTTTTTATGCTTAGAATTTGCTTTCAGTCTGTGCCCCAAGGAGAGGCATGGTACCATCTCTTAGCAAGCCTGTGTGCCAAAAGGCCTTCCAAGCAGCTGGGAGCAGTCATGAATAGAGAGGCATTGCAGCAGGCACAAGGGAATAGCTTCTAAAAGGGTGAAATGAAATAATCCACCATCCACATCTGTTAACGTGTGCCATTGCTTTAGATACAGTTTATACAGCTATATATTAGATTGTTTGGAGATCGTAAGTAAGTTGGTTGGGTAGACAACTTTTTTGCTGTAATTTCACATCTGGAACAAAAAAAATCGTAATATTTTGTTGAGATTATTGATCTTATGTAAGTTTAATCTGAAAGGATTTTGGTGGAGAAAATGGAGCACAGATGTCAGAGATGCTGACTGTAGAGCTGGTCCTTCATATCTCCACACTCCTTGTATGGAAAACCTGCTCTGTTATTGATCACGCACACTTGAATCTGCTTGGCCCAGGCCTGTCTCTTTAACACAGATTTTTACAGCAGTTACTGTGGTGGGGAAGTTGTTGTGTAGGCACAGAACAAATATACCAAAAATGGATGCATCCACCACTTCTGTGAGATGGATGTACAGCTCCACGGCCAGCTCTCACCATGATTCACAAGGGAATATGTTACATGTACATTGTAACATATATTACAATACATACCATGTATTACTGAGCTCATCAGGGAGGATGCTGAGTCCTTTCTCACACAGATCTGCCCATCCCAGAAGATCTACTTCTGGGAGAATTCCTTGCAAGCCTCATCTGCTGTATTTGTGTAATGCACCTGGAACCCAAGGGGTGAAAATTAAAAGTGTTTAAAGAAGGTTCAGCAGAAGATATTCTCTGAAGGAGCTACCCTGTGCCAGTGGGAAGATCTTACTGAACATGCTGTTCCACTGCAGGACACTCACAGAAAGGAAATAGCATATATCTGAAATGGAGGCTTTTCTGTGGCGAGTTTTGAATGCTGATTGTTTCTTTAGGGTGTAGATCTGACAACTGTCGTCCAGATAACATGCAGACTAAGAACATGAACTAGTAATATTAAGTGCCATAAAGTAGCAACAAACCCCCAACAGAATTCATTTTCTAACTCACCACTGGGAATAACAAGAACTCCTAGGCTCAAGAATAATATTTTCTAAATTTTGAAAGGACCTTTGAAAGACAGATACCCATTATTCATTAGTAATGTACTTCAACCTTCTTACTTCAAAGCCAGTTTTTGCTTGTCTGTTACTTTTATACTCTCTGTGTCACATCAGCCTGACCGATGAGGTGGCATGGTTAATTTCCTGGAGCACAAGAAGTTTCTCTAAGACAGTGCAGTTCCAAACACAACTTCTGGCTGATATGGCTGATGATTTTCTC